CAATTCATATTCTACTATTTTATTCAAACAATTGATTCAACCTTTAATAGCTTTGTTCACATTTCAACAATTTATTGCAAGAAAATTATTAGATTATTAAAATTGAAAAAAGTCAACTACAGACTCAATCTTAATCACACTTACTCAGTCACTAAGACCAACAGATGTGTAACAAGAAGTTAAAAACAATAAAGGTCAACAAAGTATACAAGGCCCTGTGTATCTGTAAAATGACACCAAGTTCAGTTCTCCTTTTTAAAGAGAACTTTTTTTGTGCTTCATGCAGTACAGCACCAAGGAACAGTCTACAAGAAACGTCTGCTAATCAATGCTGATTTCAAATGGCTACAGACTGGTCCAAGTGCAAATGTAAGTAGTTTCCAACTATACAAAAATTCTCTAGGTTTGCACTCTTGAGGAAAGTACAAAAAACAATGACTTTGAGAAAAATATATGCTATGGCACTTATGGTGTTAACAACAATTTCCTAATATAAAACAACAGATGCTATTATACACCATGGGTAATGTCAGTGCTGTCAAACACCACAGGCAATTTCAATGTGAAACATTCCATTCTTGAAACTCAATTTGTTTAGGATTATTAGATTTCTAAAGAATTAACATAAACAACCGAAGTATGAATTCTAACTCGAAGACTGCTGAAAATATATAGAATTAATCTGGAATAACTAAATCTTACAGCACTATACCTGTATTTTTCAACTCGACATTCTCATAAAATATCACCTAGCAACAATGACACGGCATGCCAGGCGCTTTTTAAAAAGTAACTATGTACTCTTACAAGGAAAGAATGAGCAAGGAGATACTGATAAGAAACCTTACAAATGATTTAAAAACTCTATGCTCGAGAGGCAGCAGCGTCATCTCCAATGAGACTAATCTATTTCTTACACTTTCACTGCACGACAAATTTCTTCTCATTTTCCCTTTTTTAAGAGACAGAAAAAAAGATTCCTACTGGAGACAGATAAAAGGTAACTGGCATATTGGTAATCTTTGGTGACATTAAAGAACAATCTCTATGGATCAATGGCGTCCAAGTCTTCAGACGGTGAAGTCTCACGCTCCGATGCACTCTCCTTTATTTCACCAAGTTCAACAGGGTCACAGTCAATCTCCATTTCAGTAGATTCTAGCTCACTCAGGAGTGCTGTGGCTTCTTCTAAGGTTAGCTGCAATATTAGAAGTTTTATCTAAATGGTTCTTAATATGAATTAACTTTCTTTTTATTTGAATATCACCCTAACATATGAACAAGGAATGAATTAATATAAGAATTCTCTACAAGAAAAAAATTATTAAAGCAACAGAGCTTCAGGGCTCATCTCTAGCTGATTCCTCTCCTACTCCATGCTTTACCTTTTTTCACACAAACTCACCTGAGCACTTGTGGTTCGTTGGAAATTTTTCGTGTTTGAGTCTTCATTGCTAAGACCGGTGGCAGCAGACAAAGTGGCCGAGTGATCGTCCATCCTTCCCCGCAACCATTCGACTGCCCACTGCCAACGGGTCTGTGTACTAGTCAAGTGGTCTCGAGCTAAAGGACATTTGGCTGAGAGTGTCACGACGAGCTTGATGCACTGATAAGCCCTCCTGCTGTCGTGGTCTTTGTTGTTGCCAATCATGTCTGCATCGTAAAAAAATAATTTAAAAAATTATAAATCAAATCAAATTATCTCCCTTTCAACATAGGGGAGCTATCACAAAAAAAAAAAAAGAGAAAACAAATACGTAACGAAATAACGACACAGAACCAATCACAATCATATAATCATAAAATACAACCATTTATAATCATATGAACAGCAAAGCTTACCCAAGAGACCCATAATGTTTTCTGTATCTGCAGTCGCAAAACCTTCTAGAACTGCAGTTGTGCGACTAGATTGCAGGGAATCACTAATTTGCTGGAAATAATAAACTTCATTATGATTTTTTCTTCCATGGTATAATCACCATAAAAAAAATTTTGCATGCATGTGTGTGTGTGTGATTGTATGTGTGTGGTGTGTGTCATTTTGTGATTTTGTGATTTTGTGATTGTGTGATTTTGTGATTGTGGTGTTGATTGTGTGTGTGTTTGGTGTGTGTGTGATTGTGTGTGTGTATGATAGTGTGTGTGTATATGATGTGTGTTGTGAGTGTGTGTGGTTGTGTGTGTGTGTGTGTGTGTGTGTGTGTGTGTGTGTGTGTGTGTGTGTGGTGTGTTGTGTTGTTGTGTGTGAGAGAGAGAGAGAGAGAGAGAGAGGGAGAGGGGAGAGGAGGGAGAGGAGAGAGAGAGGAGAGGGAGAGGGAGAGGGAGAGAGAGAGAGAGGAGAGAGAGAAGAGAGAGGAGAGAGGAGAGAGAGAGAGAGAGAGAGAGAGAGAGAGAGAGAGGGGAGGAGAGGGAGGAGGAGAGGGAAGGAGAGGAGAAGGAGAGGAGAGAGAGGGAGAGGGAGAGGGAAGGAGGGAGAGGGAGAGAGGAGAGGGAGAGGGAGAGGAGAGGAGGAGAGGGAGAGGGAGAGAGAAAGGAGAGAGGGAGAGAGAGAGAGAGGGAGAGGAGAGGAGAGGGAGGAGAGGAGAGGGAGAGGGGAGAGGAGAGGGAGTCGGAGAGAGTGAGAGAGAGAGAGAGAGAAGAGAGAGAAGAGAGAGAGAGAGAGAGAGAGAGAGAGAGAGAGAGAGAGAGAGAGAGAGAGACAGAGACAGAGAGAGAAGAGAAAAGAGAGAGACAGAGAAAAAAGAGAGAGATAGAGCGAGAAAAAGAGAGAGATAGAGAGAAAAAAAGAGAGAAAAAAAAAGAGAGAAGAGACGAGAGAAAGAGAGAGAGAGAGAAAAGGAGAAAAAAAAGAGAAAAAGAGAGAGAGAGAGAGAGAGAGGGGTATACATGAAATGAAATTATAACAAAATATTCCTTCAAAAATAACATCAGGATTACTAGGTATATATAATCTAAAGAAGCAAAATCACATACCAGTATCTCCTGCAGAAGCTGAGAAAGGTCTTTCAACATATTAGAGGGTGCCTTTGCATATTCATACTGAAAAAAAAAGATAAGCAGGAAATTTAAATGAAAGAATTTAACATTCTTCTTACTGGATTATGGTGCAAATAAATAACAAATGAAACTTCATACATTTTTTTCATGTAAGAAGAAAAACATACATACCATTACAGCTGCAATGAGTGCTTTTGAAAATGAGAAATTCTCTGTTGCAGCTGCCCTAAGCGCTTTGGACAACAAGGGGACACTGCCAGACACTTCCCTGTAAGCCACAACTGCTTCCCGGAGCCAACGTGCTTGCTCGCCTCCGTACAAGACTTGGACAACTTCGCCTGGCATAACCAGTTTCTCTTGCTGGTCTTCATCACTCTTTTCACTGGGAGTGGCTGTACCTTGAAGAAAAACAAATTATTGGTCTTTTTTACTTTCTTTCCACATATTTCTTAAGCAAAAGCAAGTTTATGGGGAGCTGGTCAATACAATCTCTAGGTACCACAGAAAATATTATTACTTTGAAGTTCTTATATTTTTGCATATATAGCACATATTTGTCTTCATTATCATATCAAAATTTGCCAGTCTTGGTTTTAAAAAGTAGGTTTCTCAATCCTAAATTCTTGGAATGAAAGATTTCTACTTTTTTTTCTTCTTCTTCTTTAGCACTAATTTCAAACACCCTCTTTTGTATCATTCTATCCTAAAACAATTCAAAGAGTACATCTCCAGTAAATGACCATTACCTGAGGTCTGGTGTGGCGTCATATCAAAACACAAAATAATAGTGGAAATGATAGAGTGCAGTGGTCCAAAATCCTGAGCTTGTACAGACGACCAACGTCTTTTGTCCGAATCAGATGGGCCGAGAAGGAAGTTGAGGAGGGCGGAGAACCCACCCAAACTTAAGATTTGAGAACAGTGAGTGAGTCCCTGAAAAGAAATAGTACTGTAGAGGAGTGTTCTTCTTACCATCATCAAATTATCTAAAAGTTAAGATATTCTAAAACCTTATTACAAATTATGTGAAGAATTACTAAATTCTTTCATAAAGAATTTTGCTTCTTCACTGAACCCAAAGAAACCAGTGTAGAAAACAACAAACTATCAAAAATCTTTACCTGCTGACAATAATTTTGTAAAAGCAAGAAGTACTGTTGAGAGGTCTTGACCAGGGAAGGGACATCAGATGCTAATGATGATATAAGATGCTTTATTATTGGCTCAATGCTGTTAACTTTACCAGCATGCTCATACTCTGCCTTGAAGATAGAGTCCAGGAGGTTCCTGTAATAAAGAATATCAGATGATGTGCCACAATCAAATAACTATAACAAGCGCAACACATTCCATTATCTCAAGTCAGAAGCTGACACTCCTAAGCTGTTTTGTCACATTCTGCTTACCCAAATTGGCTTCGTATCATTTTATTAGGACACTCCAGTAGCAGTGGTAATATATGGACTGATCCATGTTCAGCAGTAAAGAAGTTGATGACCCAACTGCAAGCTTCTTTAGACTGCATGCACAATGAATGAATGAGCTGGACCCACTGGCTGATCACTCCCTCTTCTTTGTCCTTTGTACGCAGGTATGTGTTCAGCAGGAAGTTTAGGCCAAGGTGAACTGCTTGTACACACAAGATGCTGGATACACCATTCTGACTCTTTTCCTACAGATACAAAAATGTAGATTACAATTTTGCATAAGAGAATGATTTCTTATGGAAAGAACAAGACAAAAGGTGTTTCATCACAATGGGATACCTTATAACACACAACAAATAAACACATACATAATAAAAGAAATACACATATATACAGAGGAAAGCATTGCCCAAGTTCCTTCTCACCTGATTAACTGAGCATAAATGATGTATGAAGTTATAATAGTCTGAAGAGTAAACATCCCTATTCTTCAAGAAAGTGAGGTTATCATGGGTGATAGATGATAAGATGCGGGGCGGCATATGTTCACGGAACATGCCCTGCTTCTCTCCTTGCTGCAATAGTTGACTTAGTTCACACAAACTTGAACGTGCTCTTCTCTCATTGCTACCACTCATAGATAAACTCTTCTTTGCACTGTAAAACAAGGGAGACAGAATATGAATACCCAACCCACACACTGAAATAAGGAGCAATTTTTTCAGTCATATCTTGAAATTTAACACTAAGAAATAGTACCCATGTCACAAAGGGGAAATAACATTCCTAAATAATTCTGACAGCCCCTTTGCACACAAACCTGCTAGTTGATGCTCTAAAAGATCTGGAGGAGACTCCCACCCTCGGAGTCTTTGGCGTCTTTGGAGTGGTCATTCTGTCATCCAAGCTATCATATACCAGCATATAGCCATTCCAGTATCGAAGCCTGTCCTCAGGAAGTGGGTTTGCTGCAGAAAAGGAAAGCATATCAAATAATTTCTGAGTAACCACCTTTCTTTCCCATAATGTTACTGAACATAGACATAATGCAGCGACCTCAACACTGCTTGGTCTTTCATGTTGGGTATATGTATGATAATTATTCCCACAAGCATAACTAGGCACCAAGGTCTCAACTAATTATTAACCATGAAAAATTACTTCCAAATCATAAAGAGGCAATGTCATGCTCATTCTTTCTTCATACCCAGATACTTACACGAGTCATATGACACTTTGGCTTTGTATGTTCCACCGAAACATTCCTGCTCCAGGAGAGTATCTGTCATTTCTACTGGTTCAACAGTTGTATCATTGAACTTGAACCATCTGCCCTTGTTTGGATTGGTCAGTGGATCTCCCCTGAAATATCATTTCAAAGTTTATAATATTTTAAGTAATATATTCAATAAATTAGAGCAGTAAAAACTCATCAAATCCTAAAGAATCAAATTCATCAATTTAGCTTTTTTGCATACATCTAGAAGGAAGTCCTTGTAAAATAAGTCCTTGACATAAATCCTACAATTCTAAAAATTAAAAAATGTGTCAGTACTTACCGACGATCCTTTATGTATGAGTAATAGTGCCCTGCACTTGCTTGTCCACTGTGCACAATGACACCTACTAACTCATACATTGCCCCCCTATGTCTTACTCTTGTATTAAGCCTGTAAATAATACAACAGGATAACTATAATCATCAAAAAATTAAAAGATAATGAATACACACAAACAGATAACCAAGACCTATCACAACAAAAATATATCCCATAATATCCACATCCAGTACCCACCTAGGTGTGTGAGGTGACGTAACACCTGAAGGACTGGACTTGGTTGGCGTGTGTGGAACTCTAGGAGAAGAAGAGAGCGATTTTGGGAGAGACTCTTTGGGCTTTGGTGATGGGGTGCTCCTGATTTCAGGCTCGTCACCTCCATTGGGATCTTCCTCACGTTCGGCAATGCCCTCCGCAGTATATGCTCCCATATCTAGTACCCATGGAAACTTGGGTACAAAGACCAAAAAATGTTAATAACCAATTCGCATGATATTCTTATCATTGTTAATGAATATATGAATATTTTGTGTGATCTAATAATAAAGGAAACTATTAAGATTTTCCCCCCACAAAAATTATCTCTTGCCATTTAGAAAACTGATATACAATAAAATATTTCAAACTCAATTAATAATTCAACCTTTTCCAGTAAACTAACAAGGAAGAGGTGACACTGACACTTGCAAGTACTGATATCAACATTTCTGTAAAAAAAAATTCATCTCTAAGCTCTTTCCTTCCTTGATAGCTACTCCCAGATCTAAAAGACTTACAACATGAACAGGTATAACCCATATCTTGTTAGTATGATCAGCCTATGAGAACATGATAACACACACAATCTGTATACCTTGAAATAATCATCAAACTTGAGAGCTCTTGAAGCTTCCCAGTCATAACCAAATCTCTTCAGCTGGATAACAAGGACAGGAGGGAGGCTCTTAACACATGTGCGTATTAAAGCTGTTCTCTGTAAGCAATAGTAAAAAGAGTTAGAGCTTTAGCTACTTATAATGTAAATCATTGTATCCAAACATAATATCTATAAACCTCAACGGAAAGCAAAAAACTAACAGATTATTAGAATCAATAATATTGCTATTATTATCATGACTACTATTAACAAAACAGAAAAAAAAAATAAATGAAATTCTTGAAAAAGTGCGGAGACATACCTTCTGATTGCACTTTTCACAGTAGTAAGCATTGTCTCCTTCGAGGAGCTCGCCTTTGACAAACTGATCAAGAGGAATCAAAGAATCTATGATTGAACAGGGGTGACAGTGAGATTTAAGGCTAAGAATGGCTCTTCTCGTTCATATCTGTCAACAGAAAACAATCATTAACTGACGCATCTTCAACTTGAGCTATTGCATCACCAAAATGCATATGATGCAAAGTTCTAGGAAGAATCAATTTCATTACTTGCCAAACTAGATTATCCTAGCATCAATATTTCATTAAGAAGACAATATAAAGTTCAGTAGTTCTAAATCAAGTATTTACTCAACAACAACAACAACAACAAAATTAATAAATTCAATAAAGGAAGAAAGAATGCATGCTACTTCTGCTCATTTATGGAGAGCTGTCCATGAAAAAATATGGCTGTGTATATATATCATAATACAAACCTATGTGGACAATCTTGGCAAATTCTTTGAATGGAATAAACTCCTTCGAATCTATGAGCAAATACCCGCTCATGTCTCTGCGCTTTGAGATAGTCATCTATCTGTTCAGTTAATCTTGTATAGAATTCAAAAGCATCTGTAGGCAGGAAATGAGAAAGATTGTCATGCTCACACATATATTGAAATCTAGCAATGCGCAAATACAGCTGAGTTATTATTTTTTTTTTTTTTTTTTTTTTTTTTTTTTTTTGAGTGCTGCTCAGACAGTGTGTAATTTGCTGCATGCTGGTTCTAACTAGCATCATCTCTATGTTTCTCATATCAACCCATAATGAGTTCCTCAATTACAGAGCACCCACTGTCCCCTGTCTGTTATAGATTGTATTGTACATATTGCATATGTCATGGTAGTCTATTTGTATTTGTCTGATATTCACGTTCTTCCAGTATGAACCATACGGTAATTCAGGTATATAAAGCAAAATAACAATTCTTAGTTATTAAACTGATATCAAAATCAAAACTCTATTCAAAACCTTACCTTGCTGTTCCCTGACATTGACAGGTTGTCCATCCATTCGGAAACATTTCCAGAATTTGTCAGGTATGTAATATTGCAGCTGTGATTCCATCATGTGGCCGAATACTGTCTGCAGCTGATAAAACAGACTGCATGGAAAAAGAAAGAGTAAGGTGGGTAGGTGATGACTTTAAGCTAACTCAGTTTTCAAGATTCCTCAGATAATAACCCAATCTCAAGAGGCATTATGAAGTTAATATAATTATTTGTGATCTTGTAGTCCCCTATTCAATTATAAATATCATTATCACTAATAATAACCATAAAGAAAATCATACTACTAACATTAGGCAGTTCATCGTTATTCATACCATCAAACTTATCATCATTATTAGCATTTTTTTTGTTATTAAGACAATGAATAACACTTCAACTTTCCTTAATTGACATCAGAATTATTCAACATCTAACAAAAGTCCCTCTCTCACCTATCTTCATCCTGGTCATCATCACAGACGGCAAGAATGTCTTCAGGTACACCTTGTACTAAGAAAAGTTGCTGCAAGACCGAGTTCATGTAACAAGTGGCACCACCATTCTTTAGTCCCACATATCCACTGGCACAGCGTCCCTCGACAGCCGGAGCATACTAGAAGGAAGGTAGTGGGGAACACTTTTAAATAGTTTAATATTGATAGGTACAGTTGCCTCAATACATTCCTTTACCCCCTGTGATTTGGTGAGGTTTTAATCACTCCCCTATTAGTATCATATTGCTGCAATTATAATGTCTGTCATACATGCCTATCATTAACATCTGATTTCACAGTACAAACTCCTGGTTATTCATGGATAGTTGCACTGCTATCGCAACTGTGCCATAGCTTGACAGGAAGTAACACAGGATTAAATACTACTATAGTAACTGTAGAGCAAAAATACATCCACTGAATCTTTTCCAGTACTCAGAGGCATACAAAATCTTTCACCACTTTGTTTCTTACACACAAAAAATTCAACAAGTCACTAAAACTGCAAGTGAAATGGGATGAGGAGAGAGAGAAAAGAGGGAGCAGAACAGAAAGGATAGAGAAAGAACAAAGGATAGAGAAGCAAGAGATAAACTAATCGTATATCCAAAACTTTTGAAATATCATTTATGAGAGAAAGAGTGGAAAAAGTTCCATCTGGCATGACTGAAAATAGGAACAAACCTCAAATTCTTTTATGGAGTCCGGGTTCAAAGTGTGGTGGAGAGATACGAGCTGCCCTGCAAGTCTGGTCAAATTCTGCTCCGAGTTGGTCACCAGGTGCACCAAGAGGTGGTAAGCAGCCAAACGGGATTCCTTGCCCGTGCACTTCGCCGAGTAATTTCTGCTAGCACTTAGGGAGTCTTGACCTGGTCCACTCTCCAGTACCAACTTCGATGCGGGAAACAGGTACTCCGTTATCAGTAAAGGAATCAGCATAGCACCTTTAAATCAAGAGTTGCTCATTAATACATTACAAATAACATAGGTTATGAGATTACATACAATAGCTTACAACTGCATATCAAAATAATTGCTTATTAAGAAATCCCATTTGCATTTCTCTAATGAGTTAAGAACTATGTGCAAATTGAGAGAGAAAAACTAGATATATATATCTGACTGAACAAATAAACAAAAAAATAACCGTTTCCACATAAAATGACAAAGAGAAATTCTAATCATCATAGACTTTTGCGTATCTTAAAAATTCAAGTATCAAAAGGCCAGAACCCTTACATCTCAGCGAAAAGTAATTATTTCAAAGCCACCTCAAACTTACCAAAGTCTTCCTTGTTAATCCCCTCGCAGGATAGCAGTGCAGTGA